AACAGAACTTCACTGCTTTTTGAAGTTTTGTTTTTCACTTTTTTTCTTTTTAATGGAGTGTGCTGGATGTCTCTATAATTTTGTTCAGATGACTGCAGAACCTGGAAAAGCTCTTGCTGCTATTGATGCCTAACACACTGCGAATGGTCTTTTTATATAAATATATATATGAGTCGGGGCCAACTTGACGGCAAACAACAACAACAACAATATATATGTGTATATATACACATATATACACATATATATGTAATTTGAAGTTTTGGAGACTTAAGCTGTGCTGTCAACTTTGGAAAAAGTAACCCAGTTGTACCGTGCTGAGTTGGCATTGTACAGAAATTAACAGCCATATTGGTCTAAAAACGTTAAATTTAATTTTTTTCCATTTGTACAGGGGTAACGCACTGTATTAAATATGTAAGGTCTTATCTACATGGGTTTGATTACAGAAACTAATAAAGTATTCTCTAAATAAAAAATAATAATTTTAAAAAAAATAAAACTAAAATAGGAAATTCAGAGCCTAGATGTAGATTTGTGAGCAAAAGAAATGCTGGCTAAATTCTATAAGGAATTTATCAAATAAAGAAAGTACGTTGCTAAGTTTCCAACTTCTCCTACACTCAACTACAGCTGTTCAACTATAAACTGTTTTGGAAGCTATATAGTGGTCTAGACAATCTGGATCATAAATGACTGATAATCTCTGGCTTGTCAAAGAATACAACTATTCCAGATACCCTTACATAAATACCAAAATGTTAAGTTATCAATAAGGGCACTGCTGCTCAACTGCTTCTTGGGTCTTAGGCTCAACTGTTACACGGAGAAGTCAAAAGCCTAATTCAAGTTATGACCATAAAAAGTCACACAACACCTAGCTTGCTAACCTGCACCAGCACTACCCTTCCAGTTTTAAAAATAACGTGTCTTAATGAGCTAAATGTGGATTTAGCAAGAAGCTGTCTCCTGACTACAACCTGAAAATTACATCTTTATTCCTACTCTATATATATTGACATCTTTATTCCTACTCCATATTTGATGTTGCAAGCCTTAGCAAGAAATAGGAAATGACCACTGAAACACTACTTCACTGTTCTATAAACCAGGCTACTATGCCTCCAATTAGAGACTGTGCTCATTTTTTCTTTTTCAATATCCATCATCCATGAACACCAATGTCACCAACTCAACGTTATCAACTAGAGAAGACATTACCATTAAGAATGCTAGTTACTAATTTCAAAACTAAATTGTTCTGTGATTTTAATCATTTCCATTACTGCTGTTTATACTATATTCTTTTTGTTAACAAAAATTAATTTTTGTCTTTAGGAAATAAAAATATTCTCATATTTAATGTAGTAAATCCCTATACTAAAAATTATGAGTACAGTTTGTTGCTGTTGTTACAAAAACAAATAGTTATTTTTCAGATTAAAAATTCAAACCAGCAAAAGGTAACTAAGTAAGCATCAGTAGCCTGAAAGATATTCTAGTCACTCTAAACTTAAAATAGATAAATAGTAAAGGGAGTGGCTCATTACATAAGAAAGCATCTGTAATGTTTCTCAGCTTTTGATCTTGTTTTCAGAACAATTTCTATATCTGCTTTGCTATAAAAGCACATATATTCATAAAAAATTATACTCAACTTCAATAATAGCAAGGAAGAAATATGAAATACACTAGCACTTCAGAGCATTTTGTTTCTTTTCTTCATGTATTTTTTTCCACTGATAATATTTCTGAGATCAATAATTGTTTAAGTAAATACAAAACTAAAGGAAATGTTGTAATACCTTTTCATAAACAGATTTTAAATTTTAAGACATGGTGCTATGCCATTTTTTCTAAAAACCTTCTAAAGCCAGCTGTATTGCATAGTTTCAGACAGACTAAATTTAGCCAGTTCTGTTCATCAGAGGAATGCTGTGTGTCAGCTACATCAAAGCCCAAGGGCGGCCTGATAAACACTGAATACAGGTCACGTAGCTCTGTAGCTAACAAACTCTAAGAGAGCTTGTACTCGGGGGCATTCAAAGCAGTTTTGTCATCAACAATCTCGTATCCCTTGAGCCCCCATGTCGTTTCAGTTGCTAAGCAACTCTGGTGTTAATGTCTTAGAGGAGAAAAACTTACCAGGCATCTGGCCGTTCATCTGGTTCTGCATGTGTGGTGCAGGAGGACCCCCACCTACAATTCCATCTGAAGACATGTTGTGAGAGCGAGGAGGTGGGGGAGGGCCGCTCTGATTCATCCCTCCAAGACCCATAGGCATATTCTGTGTGGGTGGCTGAAAGGAGACAGTTTAGTAAAACAAGGGAAACAGTTAGACTAATACATTAAAGATGCATATGGTATAACAGTTGCCTACAAAAACAAATGCATTTCAATTTATTCTAATGCATTTTAATCATGAACTTATTAACATCATTATTTAATATCCTCACAAACTTCCCAAGATGGTTAACATGAACACAGCATTGAAGCACCTTAATTCAAAAGTCTACCACAATTCAAGCATATTTTACTTTATATTCTCTCAGCAGTAAAAATCAAATTTTCAACATTCTGTACAAAAAGAATTTTCATTTATTTGTATTAAGGAATCTTAATGGAGCTATTAAATGTCTTTTTATTATTAATAT